CCTGGCCCCAGTTGAGACTCGCGCTGGAGGCAACCAGTTGATGTCTCTCTCTCACATCAATGTTTCTCTCTCTCTCTCGCCCTTCCACTCTCTCTGAAAAGCAGTGGAAAAAATATCCTTGGGTGAGGATTAAAAATAAAATGTAAAAAAGAAATCNAGAAATGTAAAAAAGAAACCTAAAATCTAATCTGTAAGAGAGGTGACCAAGAGAAAGAACTAGAAAATACCTACCGTTTTTTCATAAATACCTACATCTTGATGGCAAAATTTCATCATTTTCACAGAAAAATCATCTTCAGACATAGCAGAAGTTTCCAGAATGCTTCATTACCTCCTCCCTCTTCATCATCTAAGGTCCAGGTGGTCCTTTCCAAACACCGTAAAATAGATTCTCCAAAATGCAGGGAAACAAGGTATTTGAAAGCAAATCTTGAACACTGCTAATAAACAGGAAACAGAAGAGGGTTGGGAGAGATAAAGGGTTGCATTTTATACATTTTCTGCAGGCACAGATTTTGCACTGGGGTAGGCTCACCACCCCGGGAGGATTGCCCACAGGGAGCACCTCATGCCATTGGCATTATACCGTTCATGACTAGATTTTATGCAGATCAGTGTTCACGTGAGCTTGTGTTCCCATAACCCACATCTCTCAAAATGCCAGGACAGAGAGCCAGATGTGTGGCTGGAGAACAGAGCCAGCCTTGGCTGAAAATGTAGCCCCACCCGGGTCCCTTAGAGGTCACAGCGGGTTTTAAGCCTCTAGGAATCATGAGAAAGAGATTTAATGTGGTGTTAACCTCACTGGAAAGAAAATTGACATCTCAAGATACTTACGAGGCAGAAAGATGGCATTTTCCCCATTTTTGCAGCTTTAAAATAAGGAGAAAATTTTTCTAACTCAGCCCTTGCTTCAGTAGAGGTCTGCAAAGATGTATTATTCATTTGCTCTGACTAAACCTACAAAGAAAATTTTTTGAAGACTGGGAGTTTAATTTATGCTGTGAACAATCAAGTTTAGGTGGTATAATAAAATTCCACAATAAGATGCATTTGGACACAATGCAGTTGGTAACTGACTCCCATCTCCCGCCCACTCCTGTTTCTAAACAAGATGGAAAGACTGAAGCTCTCCCTGGGTGCAGGACAAGGCAGGGAGAGCAGCATTAGGCTTGGAGGAAACTCATCATTTGGGAAGCTCCCAGTTCCATTCACAGTCATAATTCCCCTATCTTTACTTTTGTGCTTATTGTGACAGTATATTCCTGCTGAAAAGTTTTCCACTAACTTCATAATAAAAGGACCCTGTGTTCGGCCCTGGCCAAATAGCTCAGTTGGTTAGAATGTTGTACGCCAAGGTTGTGGGTTCGATCCCAGCCAGGGAACGTACAAGACTCAACCACTGAATGCATTAATAAATGGAACAAAAAATTAATGCTTTTCTTTCTCTCTCTCTCTCTCTCTTTCTCTCCCCCCCCTTCCTTTCTCTAAAAAAATCAATATTTTTTTAAATTTTTTAAAAGGACCCTGTATTTTTTGTTTTATTGTNTTCTCTCCCCCCCCCTTCCTTTCTCTAAAAAAATCAATATTTTTTTAAATTTTTTAAAAGGACCCTGTATTTTTTGTTTTATTGTTTGGACCTGCATTGTCTTGTTATGGTTGGGTATATTGTATTTTCGAGTAGGAAAGTCATTGATGCAGGCGTCACAGGCCCTGCCCTCCCTGTAACCTCTCCCGTGCTCCCCAGTTTTCTGAGGTATAAAACAGGGCCACGTCCTGTCTGGCTCTCATGAGATTTCAGGTGAGGGAAAGCAGGTGCATGCCTCTGTTTTGAAGGGCAGCATAGAATAGTCGTGAATTCTGGTTGGGAATCCTGACAAAGTGCATTATTCAATATTTCTTTTGGGTAGCTAACATGGGGTTTCTCACAAGACTCTGTATGGTGCCTGGTGACTTTGGCTCTGACAGCCACCCGGCCTATACATGAGCCCCACACACCACAGACAGCCTCCTCTCAGTTCCAGGGTGTATGTGTCTCCAGGTCTCCTTTGGGGTGTGGACTGGCTCAGCACATGGCCATGGGAACCACACTGCTCCAAGTCTGATCCTTTTTCAATGTTGTGGGGTCACTTTACCTGAGACCACGGCAGCCAGGTGCTCACAGCCTTGTGAAGGAAAACACAAGGCAGGAGAAAGAAATCTAGATGCCAACAAGAGGGGTAAGAAAGACAAATCTTCAGTCTGGAATGAGACTCAGGGCCGGGCCGTGTGTAACAGTGCAGCTCCAGGGCCCACCTGCCTAGATTTAAATTCCGCCTCTGCCACTTACCCTCCATGTGTCCTCGGACAGGTTTCTTAGCTTTCTGTGTCTCACTTTCACACCCTGTAATATAAGAGCTAATAATAATATGTACTTCATGGGGTTTTTAACAATTAATTAAAGTTCTTGGCACATAATTAGATTTCCCTAAAAAAACACTTATTACTATTATTATCATCATAATTATTGTTCTTGAGTGGAGAATTGGAAACCATAAAGAAAAGTTTTCCCAATTGTATCAGTTTCCTAAGGAGGACATGAAAAATTCCCACACACTGGGTGGCTTGAAACAACAGAAATGTATTCACTCACAGTTCAAGAATTCAGAGTGTCCAAAAGCAGAGTGTCACCACGGTCAGGTCTCCCTGGAGTCTCTGGGGGGAAACCATCTCATGCCCCCCTCGGCTGCTGGTGGTTGACAGCCATGCTCAGTGTTCCTGGCTTGTAGACACATCACTCCCATCTCTGCTTCCGTTGGCTCTGTGCTCCTGTGTCTTCTCCTTTTCTGTCCTACAAGGACACTTTCATTGAACACCTTACCTTAATTACATCTTCAAAGACCCTTATTCCAAATAAGGTCACATCCTGATGTTCCAAGTGGGCATGAATTTGGGGGCAACACTATTCAACCTACTTCACCAACTAAGAGCAGGTCAGGATCGAGTCAGAGGAAGAAATTGTGACGAGTTCCTGGAAGAATGTCATCTCACCTTGGGCGTGGTGCTATCAGCTAAAAGGGTTGTGTTGGGTGGGTGGCCAATCAAGCAAAACGGCTGGCTTACCACCAAGGTCATCACTGAGTCAGAGCCGACTGACACGGAGTTCATCAGTATGCTCTTGTTCAAACTCTGGCAAACTTCTCTGGAGAAAAGTGGAATGTTGCCAGCAGGCAGCACCTGAGCTGCGCTCTTCCCCCGCCCTCTCCTGACATGCTGCATGCCACTGCTGAACCCACTGTTGAACCCTGAACACATTCTGACACTGGGTAATGCAATGGTAAGGGCTTTGGAGCCTCAAGGACCTGGATTTGAATAACATGCTCTGAAACTTACTAGCTCCACTTACCACCTTTGTGGCTTCAGGTAAGGTACTTACCTTCTTTGAGCCTCAGTTTTGGCATCAAAAACCAGGCATAATATCACCACCACCTTGTAGAGTTACTGTAAGAAAACTAATATACGAAGCAGCTTCACCTAGTGCCTGGCATAAATTTCAGTGCGTGGTTGCTATTATTATTATTGTAAAGCCAGAGGGCCCATGAAGAGTTGTGAAGAACCATCCATATGCATCTCTTCCCCCACCACCACCTCTGCCCTCAGCACACAATAAACTGAGTAAACACACAGTGAATAGCTGAATTAAATGATGCATCAACTGCATTTTATTATAAGCACTGCTTCAATGAATGGACCTCCAATAGCCTTTCAGGATTTTTAACCCAATTTGGACAGCCCACGGCTGTCATGAAAGTGCCTCTCATGACTTAGCACATGAACAGAGCAGAGCAAAAGCAACAGAAAGCAGTCAGTCCTTTAGTGTACGTCAGCATTTAAAAAGGCTTAATAGTATTTGGAAGCTATATAATTCATCTCTCATGTGTGACTTTTTATTATTACCAAAGTAGTATGTGTTTATTGTAGAAATCTTAGAAATATAGCCAAGCAAAAGAATACAATCATTCTTAACCCCAACAGACAGATTTTTTTCTTTAATAACATATTGTGACATTTTTCCAGTCATTAGTCTTCAACATCATTTTTTTAAGGATTGTACAGGTTTTTGTTTGTTTGTTTATTTGTTTTTATCTTTATTGTTGAGAATTTACAGATGTCTCCTCTTTTCTTCCCATTGTCCCCTCCACCCAGTTTTTAACAGCTTCCTAATATTCCATTATATAAACCTACCAACATTTATTTAACTCATCCCCCATTCCATAAATTTTAATTTAGCATTTTCAATATTTTGTTGCTGAACATAAAGCTGCAACGATATGAATTTATTTCTTATTAATTTTATAAATCCTTACTAATTTGGTTTATTGTAACCCTACCCCTTTTCCAACCTTTGCAGTTAACCCAAAAGTTATTTGCTTCAAAAAAAAAAATTAATTTGCTCAGTTTATGAGAAACTGGTTTTATTACCCAACTGAAAATCTCTTAGCATTGGTTGTGTTATTTTAAGCAAGCTCTCTCCTGGGCTGGCTGTGTCCAGTAACTGACAAGTAGTCAGTGTCCTTGGGTCTCACTGCTGACTCACTTGTTCCAGGTGTGGGGTGTCATAGGTGTCGAACTCTATATAGAGAGTCTAAGTATCCATAGACTGTTTCCCTAACTCCAAACAACTGTTTTCTAAACCCTGGCTGTTAGTTTCAAAGAACTGGGCAAAGAGCAAGGGTGGATCAACACAAATCCATCAGCACTAAAGGGAAGGCAGGGCGTCAACATCACCTTTCCCTTGGAGAACAGCTCAGGAGGGTACTTGCGTCAAGTGACATAAAATTGGTGAGGCTGTAGAAAAAGGAGAGGGATAACATTGGGGAAAACAATTGGCTGACCTTACATTTACCTTAACTTGTAAGGTTATTCTGTGAGTTCCCCCCTATTGCTCTGAGAGACAAGTTCAGCAGCTTGTTTTAAATTGCTGGTGGTAACAATATTTAACTGGCAGTTTTCTCTTGCAGCTGACACCGCGCTTGGCACTGATGATGCATATGATGAAAAAGGATGCCAGTGTGATGTATCTGTAGAAGACCTCACCCCACCGCTTAAAACTGTCATTCGAGCTATCAGGTTGGTGAAAAGCCTCTGACAAAATGATTCAGAGACCTAGCTTTTATTATGTGAATTACTATGCTGCTAAGTTCTTTTTCTAGCAGGTAAATCTCCTGGAATAATTGCCTTCTCTTTTCCTATTCATCCACATGCCTATTAAAGTCTGAAATATTTTTTTTCTTAATACAAAACTCTACTGTGTTCAACTCAAAGTATGTTACAAAAGGTGGGTGGGATTTGAAAAGCCAAGCCATAGTGAGATTACATAAAAATTGGCCTGTCGTGTAAATCGGCTGCTTTTAAAGACATTTAGTGTATAGGTGCAGTTGGATTTTTCAAATTATTTTTATGACTTAATGTTTCGACCCATGTTCTGTACTTTGTGTCAAAAAAAAAACAAAATCCTCTAGGTTATTTCAAAACAGGTTGCATTCTAAAAATGGGAACCCTAAAGCGTTCTGCAGTTGTTCGTATCCTGCTGGAATGCAACTGTTAAAAGCAGATCTTAATATGTTTCCTCTACTGATGTCAGAAAGGTAAGCGAGTACCCAAAGCTACTTATTTCAGGAATCCACTCCCCACAGAAAGTTCAGAATCTGGACTAAATGAACTGCCACATGTTCCACCTGCCTACTTTAATCCCTTTGGGAGAATTTGTGTCTGTCCGGGAATGCTGAGTGACTATATTGCAAAGACATGCCTCGTTTTGGCTCTTTTGGCCTCTTACCCAAAAGCCAGAGGGAAGCTTAACAATGAACCCAATTTAGCTATTCAGATACTTGGTCTAAACTCAGATCTGTATGATTGATCATTCATTTCTATTTTGAGCTGGTCATTTAGCGTTATGTTAGACATTGCTTTACTTTATGTCGGAAGTCACTGGGAAAGCAGAAATGAATTTAAAAGATTTTGGTAAATGTTTGTGGGGGCAAAGAAGATTATGGTATGCCCCCAAAAATGTGTGCCCCCAAAAATGCTTAAACACTATCTGTAACAGCAACCTAAAAAGAAATGAAGTCCAGTTACTTCCTAATAGAATCTTCAAGCAGCAATCACTATGAGTGGGGAGCCAACCTTTTTATGTGCCCTGGACCATCCAGATTATGCCTCTTGTCTTATCGTAATTGTTAGTAACACTGTCTGTCTTTCTCAAAGTATCCCAGTTTAAACAATTATATGATCACCCTACCCCTTGGGGACCTGGAAGCCTTGGATAATATTTAATTTCAGAAAACCCACAGATATGCAGTAAAAATTATGCCTGAAGGCTTCAGTTAAAGGGATAGAAAGGATCTGGAACTGCAGCGCCCAATATGGTAGCCACCGGCCACATGAGATTATTTAAATTAATTTAAATTAAATTAAATTTATTTTTAAATAAAACGTAAAATTCAGCTTATAGGTAGCACTACCAACATTGAGGAGGCTAGTGGCCACTATATTGGGCAGAGAAGATATAGTACATTTCCATCGCTGTAGAAAGTTCTATTGGACACTGCTGATCTAGAAGTCGCCTTGAAATTCTTTACATCATTATATCCATCAAAGACTCTAAAGCAGCAATTTTCAAGCAGTGAACCAAAAGAATTTTTAAAATATGCAATACCTGACTGTTTAGTCAGGGACACTGACCTCTTTCCCCTTAGATTGTTAAATTAAAAAAATAAAATAAAAGGCAACAGCCAACACAACAATAGCCATCCCATGTAAATGCCCTGCGTTGAAGCATAAATACATAGTTCATATAATAGAGCTGCATCCTATTGGTCATGTAGTATAATAAGGTTTCATCTGATTGCTTAATTCTTGGTACCAGAAATCCTTGTATACCAGTATAGGCACCTGATTCTTTTTTAAAAGTCACTTTGGAGCAAAAAGCGTAGGTAATTATTATTATTATTACTTCTTTTGTAAATCACAATTATACTTATTTTCCCGTGAGATCAGCAAAACATATACTATATATTTTTAGCATGCCGCAGAATTTTAGTAATTAGTTTGTGTGCCATGAGATGAAAAAGGTTGAAAACGGCTGCCCTAAAGCAAAGGTGGGGCAATTCATCCCCAGATTAGCCTGATTTGCAGCAAGTACAGTTAAATCTTATCTAATGGGAGCAGATTAGGTTTCCTAAAAGTCATACTTAATCCATTTTGTGCCATTTCCCAAGACCTGTAGAAGCCTTCTACTTTTGCCTCACAGCCTATAAAAAGAATCGTGAGCTGCAAGAGAGAAAATGAAAGAGGTTTATTCTGCTAGCTAAGCAGTTTAGCAGCAGCTTAAGACTTACTGTCTCTTGAAACTTGACTGATTTTTGTAAAGTCCTTTGCAGAATTCCCTTCTTTTAAGAATGCTTTCTTGGTTTTTATTTTTAACGGAACTTCATTATTTTCATGTGGATTTCGGAAGCTTTCTGATTGCGAATTCGTGACACTTGAGGGTTATTTTTTCTCCCCCATATTCTGATTCTGATTAGTGTGTGGTTTTTTTCTCACTTCCAAGTTCCATTTAAAATTGTTGGGTGCTATATAAAAACATAAGAGCCTCACTCAAGGGCTTATAACTAATTGGAAATCTTTAACTCATGATAGTACTTAATTTCTAAAACTACATAATTAAAATACCAACCAATACCAACTAGAATTCTGAAAAGGATCTGCAGGTATATGTCCCTAAATTGTATTCAAAAGTGTCCTTTTCCTGAGTTTCGTTACACAAATAAATTGAACATCGGTTGTCCGGAATGTTTTTTGCCAGAACATGCCCACCTCTTTCGGAGCACCTGAAATAGTAACTTATTTATATACCACTGATGGCAAGTGCGAACCATCTATTGTGCATCTCTAAAACAGTGGCTTCGTTTTGGCATTCTCGTTATTTTTGGTTGTTTGACTATTGAATGTGACTACTTGAGCATGCCTTTGTCATCCAGCAGCTTTTACAATAATAATAGCTTTTCTTAAAGTCAAATTTAAATTTAAAAAATGTGTAACAGAAAATATGTATTCCACAAGGATGTCAGCAGAGAAAATAACCTCATTACCTTCCCAAAGAACAAAGTAGGAATTCTTAAAAAAATATTTATTAAGCATCTTACAATTTCTAGTTATTTTTGAGAGTAAAGATTCTCAGGTAATGAGCTGATTAAGACCACTCTCAACTTGTCTAGATTTTATTACCTAAATACACTTTGAGACTTTTTGTTAAGAATGACATCACTTTCTATAGTACTGAGCGATGGCTATTCTTAGACATGTCCAAAATATGTCTTAAAAGACAAAATAATACTGTTTTATATAGTTTTCCAAGATTACCACAGATTATTCTCAAAATATTAGTTAGGGGGAGTGCACAAAGTTACTGGAAATGTGCTTTCAAACTCATCTCTGGGAGTGGAGACTATACTTATTTTTAACAAAAGTTCTATATCTTTTTTTTAATCTTATTAATGGTTTAATTAACCAATGCTAAGTGTCTTCCACTCAAAAGTTCATTTATAAATAGAAAGATGAAATTAGCAGGGAAGTAAACAGATTGACAAGGAAATTGATAAATTCTTGAGCATCCCATGCACTCACTTTTCACTATATTATGGATATTTATTTGTTAGCGTTGCCATAACAAAATACCACAGAGCACACATGCTGCATAACCAGCAGGAGCTTATGTTCGCACAGTTCTGGAGGCTCAACGTCCAAGACCCAGGGTCAGCAGGGCTGCTTTCTTCTGAGGCCTATCTTTTGGCATCAGATGGCCATCTCCTCACAGTATCTTCACATGGTCCTTCTTCTGTGCCCCCACTTCTCTGTGTCCAAATTTTCCCCTTCTTATAATGGCATCAGTCAAATTGGATTAGGGTCGACCCTAACAGTTTCACTCTAACTTAATCTCCTCTTCTTAAAGGTCTTATCTCCGAATACAGTCACATTCTAAGGTACTGAGGGTTAGGGCTTTAACATACAAATTTTGGGGGTACACAATTCAGTCCATAACTCATGGCAAGTCACCTGTGTTTGTATCACTGAAAAATATTTTCTCCAGCACAATATCAAAATTTTCAGATTTTAAAAAAAAGCCCATTAATTACCTGGATATGTTCCTTCACAGTATCAAACATCTGGATATTTGGGACTATCTGAAGAGGTTGGCTGATTTACCTTTCCAGTTCCCGCTTGGCATTGTGTAAATACTACATAAGTGTGAATCTTGGGCAAAATTCCACACGAAAATTAACATATGTTCATTTATTTGAAATAAATTTTAAGAGTCATATTCAATAAATGCTATATTTATAAAAGGGTCACAGAATAATAAATTTTTTAAGTGCAAAAGAAATGTTTGTATTTGTTTTCCTATACCAAGCTGGCTAGATAAATTCTCAGATGTGCACAGCAAGGCAACGTACAAACACTATGTCGAGGATTAGGCAACTGAAGAGAGAGTTTTGTCTGCTAAAACATTGCGATGCAGAGCTTACCCGCTTCTTACCAGTATTTTTCACAGAATTACTGCATCTCAGATCAAGTCCACACTTAGGATCTTCAAGGACAGTTGTTCTCTCCTCCACTTGTTTTATGCAACCCTGTTTACGGCCAGTCACCAAGAAATGCATCGGAATACTGTACAACCTGTCCTTCCTGTGAAGAGAGCCAGAACCCGGTGGAGATTAGTCATCCTTCTGAAGAGACATGGCCAAGAAGCTGTTGATTGTATTGTGTTCCTAACTTCTCAGGATATTTCCATGCAATAATCACCATGCCTGCTATGTTTCACTTGTATGCAACTTCTTATTTCCCAGACCAAACCAGCCTTCTAGAGAATCAAAGGAATAAATAAGGCCTTGGGTGAAAACTCAAAGAATCCTTTAGAAAAGCTACAGCCCGACTTTACCCTGGCGCCACGGAGCTGCCCAGGAGAAATCCAAGAACACAGCAGCCCCAGGTCGTCTCTCTGTGCTTCGCTTTCTCATTGGTGAAGTGAAGACGGTGATAGTATTGACCTTGTAGGGCTGTGGTGAGGG